AATAAGTATACCTGTGTATATTTACTCTAAGGTACAGACCGGCATGTATTTTATATGCGCCTACGTATTTATTTTGCCTGTATAGTTACGTGTATCATAATGAACAGATGTCCATTATTTACAAGTTCGACTGAAGAGTTCTAAATAAGGGGAGGTTACTCTTTTATTTATTTATTTATGCTACGTAGATTTATTTCTTTTCGACTAACCAAGCCTTCATTCCACCCTTTTGAAAGAACAAATTCACATCTTTTTTTTTCAATCACGATCGCAATATCCAGCCTAATCCAGTTCTTTATTCTTACATTTATCAATATCTACACCGACCAACTTCGTTTCTTTCTCTTCCGTCTGTTATATTCATTCGGCCTGATCGTACGCATTTAATTCGATAACATGGCTTTATATCACTATTGTGCCTCCCAATGCATACTGGGAAATGCTGAACGGAAAAAAGACTTTGCAAGGAACATCCCGTTTTCATCATTTTAGAAGGAAATAGCTATCTTCTTTTTATTCCTCTTTTTATTCTTCTTCTAATAATAATAATTAATATTATAATTCTCCCATTTTTATTTATTTTAATCGTACATTTTTTTTTCTTTGGTCATCGTTTTTTTTTTCTTTTTATAGCTACGTTTTCTTCGTTTTTTTTTTTCTGTCTATCTTTTCAATTGTATTTCCTTTCAATTTCTTCTTTTCTTCATTAAACAGTTGGAAGAACAAAAATCATGATGAAACCATACTTTTGCATCTTTATTCGTTAATTATTCTTTTAAATTTTCATTATGAACTTCCTACCATCCGCATGTCTACTTTTACATATGGCATTTATTTTTTTTATTTCTTTCGTGTCTGCCTCTCTTAATAATTTCGTTTGTTCTTTCTCGTCTGCCTGTTCCAATTCTTTTATTCATTATTACTCTTCAGCTTCTCTTAATTCGTTTACTTTCTCTTCCATTTCTCTCAGTTGTTTTCCCTGTGGTTTCTCGTCTGCCAATCACAATTCTTGTTTTATCCGTTCTTTCTCCTCCTCCTCTCAATTTTTTATCTGTTCTTTCTCCTCTTCCTCTCAATTCTTTTATCCGTTCTTTCTCCTCCTCCTCTCAATTTTTTATCTGTTCTTTCTCCTCTTCCTCTCAATTCTTTTATCCGTTCTTTCTCCTCTTCCTCTCAATTCTTTTATCCGTTCTTTCTCCTCTTCATCTCAATTTTTTATCCGTTCTTTCTCTCCTCTTCCTCTCAATTCTTTTATCCGTTCTTTCTCCTCTTCCTCTAAATTCTTTTATCCGTTCTTTCTCCTCTTCCTCTCAATTCTTTTATCCGTTCTTTCTCCTCTTCCTCTCAATTCTTTTATCCGTTCTTTCTCCTCCTCCTCTCAATTCTTTTATCCGTTCTTTCTCCTCTTCCTCTCAATTCTTTTATCCGTTCTTTCTCCTCTTCCTCTCAATTCTTTTATCCGTTCTTTCTCCTCTTCCTCTCAATTCTTTTATCCATTCTTTCTTCTCTTCCACTCAGTTCTTTTATCCGTTATTCGTCTTCCTCTCAATTCTTTTATCCGTTCTTTCTTCTTTCTCTCAGTTTTTTTTATCCGTACATTCTAGTCTATACTTAGCGCCTCTTTTATTCATTCTCTCTCGTCTGCTTCTCTCAATTCATTTATTCCTTCTTTCCCATCTGTCCCTTTCAACTCTTTTAACCGTTCTTTCTCATCTGCCATTCTCAATTCCTCTGGTATCCGTTCATTCTCTATCTGCCTTTCTCGACTCATTCTTTTCTTGTCAGACTCTCTCAATTCTTACATCCGTACTTTCTTGCTAGCGTCTCTCATTTATTCTTTATCCGATCTTTCTCGTCTGCCTGTTTCAATTCTCTCATTAATTCTTTGTCTTTACTCTGTCAATTCATTTTTTATCCGCATTTACTCGCCTGCGTCTTTCACTTCTTCTTTTATCTGATCTCTATCGTTTATCTCTCTCATTTATTTCATCCGATCTCTCTAGTTTGTCTCTCTGAGTTCTTATTTTATTCGATCTTTCTTATTTGTCTTTCTCCATTCTTCCGTTCTTTTTCCTCTTTCTTTCTCTCTCGCAACTCTTCTTTCATTTGTTCTTCCTCGTCTGACTTCGTCAATTATTCCATTCATTCTTTCTCGTTTTTTATCCGCCCTTTTTCGTCTGCCTCTTTTATTTTTTCTTTACCCCGGTCTTTCTCGTCAGCTACTCCCAATTCTGATTTTAACAAAACATCCTTGGCTACCACAGATCTTCTTCCATTGGTCCATTCATTCGTTTTCCTTTTCTTCTCTCAATTCTATTTTCATCCTTTCTTTCTCGTTTTCATCTCTCATATTTTATCATATATTTCTCGTCTGCATCTCTCAATTATTTTATTCAGTCTTTCTCATTTATTTCACTCAGTTCTTTTTTTAATTCGTTCTTTCCCTTTATCGCCTTCCCATTTTTTTTTCTTGTTCGCTCTTTCTCGTCTGCCACTCTCAGTTCTAAATTTATTCATTCTTACTCTCTTCATTCAATATATTTTGGTTTTCTTCTATATTTAGCTTTCTTTCTTTTTAATATATTATTGCATTTCACTTTTTTGGACATTTTTTTTTAATTCGTTCCTCGATCAGCAACGCTTCTATATATAATATTAATAAAGTACATTTCTACATAAAAAGGATCGGTCGTTGTCTACTTACTATCTTTCCATTCTTTATTCTTCGTCATTAAAAAAAAAACTCCTTCTGCATATATTTACATTTCTTAATACATTTATTTTTTTTTTCTTTATTCCATTTCCTCGTCATTCGTTAGTATAACATTCCATTTGTACTAACTAGTGATCAATCTCTACCTGGTCATATTTATATAATAAAATATATGGGAGTCTGATCCAAATGTACAAAAACCACAACATATATCAATTCGATATTTAATCGCTTTCAATTTGTCAATCGTCATTTACATTGATAGACGCATTCCTGGCACTCCTTTATTTGGATAACGAACAGCTGCCTTGTCGTATTCTCTTTGGTTTCTTCGAGGTCTTGAAATCGTGTTCCTTTTAAGTGTGACTGGAATTTAAAGAAGAGGGAAAAGGTCACCATAGGCGAGATTTGCGGAAAATAGTGGTTAACAGACTTGTAGAATATTGACCTTTGGCCCAAAACTGCTGCACAAGTCATGTTTACTGATGGAAACTCTGGGATATTCTGAAGCGACAATACTCGGCACTCTTCCCTTCCAAGCACTGGTATGAGCATTAGAAGTGAGTTAGAGCAAGATTTGTATACATGGCAGAGTTCACGGTCAATCTGTCGTAAGTGTTTTCTTTCTGCTACTAAGCTTGGTCACCATGTCAACAGTCAGGATACTTTTTGTTTTCAAACCTCGTATTTATGTATATTATATATATATATATATATATATATATATATATATATATATATATATATATATATATATATATATATATATATATATATATATATATATATATATATATATATATATATATATATATATATATATATATATATATATATATATATATATATATATATATATATATATATATATATATATATATATATATATATATATATATATATATGGAGGATTCTCCCGTCGTATTCGGCGTATGAGCGTCAAGCAGCTCACTTCCTAGGAACAGACAGCCCCCACACCAGAACATATGAATTGATCATTGTGATGAAGGCTTTGTGCAGAACCAATCACACTTTTGGGAAGAGACAAATACAGAGCTCTAGAGTACAAGATGCCACAAGTTCACCAAACGATCTTCCTACAGGTTTGAATTCAGAGTTGCCCCTTTCAAGTCTATAGAATCCAGTCTGTTCTTCTATTTACCCACTTCTATTGTAATGCTTCATATATTTAATGATAATTTTATTCTTTTATTCTTTTCTTATTTATTTGTTTCTATTGCTGTCATAATGTAATAATGTCAAAGAGGTTCTTTTGATACTGAACTGTTCACTTCGACATTCCGTTTAAAATATATTTGAGCCATTTCTTCATTTATTATTATTATTACTATTGTTATTATATATTACTATCTATTATTATATATTAATATCTATCCATTATTATATATTAATGTATTGGGGCAGCAGATCATTATTTAAACATATACTGTTAAATCTAACAGACAGTGAATATCTATTATGTTTGATCATAAGCCTTTCTAAACTCCGTATTATTGCTTTGATCCTTGATCTAAGCTTTCAGCTCATATTCCACTGTCGGGAAGTGCGAGATAAGAAGCTGTTGGCGTAAAAGTGACGGCTGCATTTAGCTGTTTCAACAGTGAAAGGGTGGGACCGAGATGCCAACCTAGTAGCACTCTCAATTTCACGCAGTTTGGGAACCAGTGAAAGTAGCTCGTCAGAGCAGTTGCCATGATAATACTTGTAGCACAGCACGTCTTTGAGAAAGTGACTGGAAACAAGATGCCAGATCTGGATCTATCACATTGCATATCCGTCTCTGGATTTTGTCGAGGACGTCAAGTGTATATTTTTCTTACTTGAAATCTTAATTGGCTGACAAATACTGAAGAGGGTTGCCTTCCTGTGGAGTAACGTCTTTCATCAAATATTTATGACTGGTTGGATGAACATCTTTTATGTTTTTGTGAAATATTTTTAGTACGGCTGCCTGAATGCTAGCATTGTTATTTAATATATCTACAATTCTCTAACGTTCGTATATTGTCTTCTTTGCTACTTTTGTTTTCTATTCAGTCAGCAAGAGCTGTCTAAAGCCTTCATTTCTATCACAGAGTACCTTCTTGACAGTTAAGCATTTTTCATAGAACGTAAAATCAACCGAGATGTGAAATAAGAATGTGTTTTATTTAAAAGCCGCTGTTCAGTGACAGTTTAATATCATTATTCTTTTGAAATCTCTGTCTTTACTGAATTGTCTGTTTATTCTCATTTTCGACTTCGAAGTAATTCCAATTATGCTTATTGTGATATATATGACACCGTTATATATTCCTCTCTTAAGGTTAAGGCCAGTAAGCCCGATAAAGTAAAACTGATAGCTAAATCTCAAAAATCATCACTAATCAATTATTAGCTGGGGCAAGAAATGACTTGTGAATTTTAATGGCTCCAAAAAAAACCCAAAAAAACTGCTATCTTTTAATCATCACAGGTCTTTGCTTTCCATCCGTATGGCTGGTGCTAACCTTCAGAAGGGCATTTTTTGCACCTTTTTGGGCTTACGTTTTCATCTAACACGAAGTGAAATGTGTATATATTGAATCTATTGCTTGGTTTGCTGCTAAGAAAATCAGTTCTCCTCGTCATGCCAGATTCCTTTTATCGCAAGAATCCTTTTTGCTCAATAAATCTACCTTTCGTTCGTACATTGGATATTGCTGTCATATTTGGTTTGGTTTTCCTACTATATCTCTTGAGATTATCGACAAAATCCCCCCCCCCAAATGATTTTCAATGTAAGCGCCCTCGACTACAGTCATTTTACCACCGACGTGAATTGGTTTCTCTCCGTCTTTTCTATAAATATTTTCATGGCAATTGTTACAACGAGCTCTTCTTCGTACGTCGAACGGATTAATTCAAGCGTACTACTAGATTAACAAATAGGTCTACTCATTTTACTGTTTAAAATAGTTAGATGCAAGCATAAGTTCTATTCTAATAATTTCTTTATTCGTCCTTCTCGACTTGCTTACCTGCCACTTTCGATCTTCAAAAATTTAGATTCAACATCAAACACCAACTTCTGCCTTACTCCAAACTGTTCTTTCATTTTCCTTTCTCCTCTCTAAAGTATTCCTATTCTAATTCCCAGCAACAGCTTGCATGTTAGTAACATTATCACCTTGCTTGTGGTGAAATGATTAAAAGAAAACCCATCTCTGTTCTTTTTTCTTCACATTTCCTTTGGTTAAATGATAAAAAAACATGGTATACACTGCTTCATATCAGATAAGTTAGAACATCAGAAAGAGAAACTTCACATTGGTGTGTCTATATGATGCTTGTGGGATTTATACAACATTTGTTCATCTGCAGTTTATAACATAAAGAAAATGAGATAAAAATTGCTCAAGTTCTTTGTTGATCGTGATTCAAAGAAGCAAATGTAGATAAGGAAAACAATGAATGAAATGATAAAGTCTCTTATGTAAGTCAATAGAATTATTTGTCACCTTTATTTTATCTGGTGTTCCTGCTATTCTTCTCAAAGTTCTTGAGAAAATCCAAAAAAAGATCTGCAATATAATGGATCCTGTCTTGGCATCTCGACTTCAGTCACTTTCTCAACAATTTGACGCAGCTTGCTCTGTCTTTTCTACATATATTTTCATGGCAAAGATAAATTAGAAGAAAAAAAGTCACCCAATATCGTACTTATTACAATTACTTATCACTAACTTGCCACTAGATTCTCATCTATTTATTTTTTTTAAATATTTTCCCCCCGAGCAAGGTGGATGTCACTAGTATGCAAGGGGGTTATAGGGATTGAAAATGAGAGAAAAGACTGAGTATAGGGAGAATTGAGGAAAGTACAAAAGATGAACGGGATTCAAGAAGATAGAAGATGGCGATTGACGATGCATTTGAATTTTTATCAGGGAAGTAAGAGGAAGAGAGTTCCGCAGAAGGGAAGTGCTTGAAAAGAAACGTTTGGAGTAGAAGAGGTGGGGGCTGTTCTTAGCTATTTTAACAGTAAAATTGTGGGGCCTATACGCCTATCTAGTAGCACTAGTGAAAAAATCTCTTTAAAGAAGTTACCGTAAAATATTTGTAGAGGGAAGCCACAACATGTCGATGAGAAAGTGACTGAAGTCGAGATGCCAAGTCCTAATCGATTATATTACAGATCCTTCTATGGATTTAGAAAGAAAGCCGAGATGAATAGCAGGAACACCGGACCAGATAAGGTAGCAGTATCCGATGCTTGGACGAATGTTAGATTTGTAAATGTGCAAGATAGACTATGACGAGAAATATTTTCTGGCACGACACAGTGACCCAACTTTCATAATAGTAGCTGCAGCTACAAACTTAACGTTTAGTCTTTGAGTATTTACATATAGGCAGTATAAATCTAAGAGGAATGGCAGTCTAATTCTAAATGGATGACTGGAGCGTGGGTTTGGGTTAGAGAATGAGTATTAAATTCGCAGCCGAGCACGTCCCATGTTCCAACATGAGAGGCAAACCAGATGAATTATTCGTTGTCGAGCAGTAGAGCAAGTTATACGTGTTCATGTTATACTATCGGCGGAAATAATTAAAAAAAAACTATGAATCAGTGGATTAACCTTCGTGTGAAGAATCGTTAAAAGGCCAGCGAAATGTAACCATTATTAAAATCCTTTGTAGTTCATGCCCTGTGAAGAAATAGTGTGCTTTGACTGGTACAGGCAATGGTCTAGAAAGGGTGAAAAGAATTGCATGTTGAGACCTGAAGTGGGCAGCTAAAAAAC